TAAATGGCTATGCATGAAAACAACTTAAACATACCTTTATTTTATGATAATTTCTCCTTGAAAAGTTGAATTCTTTAATAATAATAGTAGCTAACCCATCTTGATCTTCTGGGTTTTTTTTACCTCGTTATTATATTCAATTTGATATTTAGAATAAAAATTCTATTTAAAAAACTTAAAATTATGTGGCGGGTAGTCAATTTTTAGCTTTCTATTTTAATATGATTTTATTTATTTATCCATTACATGTGAGATATATTCATTATCAGTTTGAGGGTAGAAATAACAGTTTTATTTTTAAATAAGCCATCGCCCACTACTCCATATTTATCCAGGCCGTCTAGTTGTGAGCGGAACATGTATCACTCAACCAGAGCAGGAAACTTGCAAGGTTCAAGTCTTCACGTAGACTTCTAAGGAGGAGTTTTCCTTCTTAACCTCAGAATTAACCGTTAATTTGTCTAGCTTTTGTTCAAGTCATTAATGATTAATTAAGATGAAACTTGTAAAAGCAAAACAAAAATTATGAAGAACCTAGTACCCTAGCTAATACGAGCTGGACCACTACCTAATCATACTCTAACCCTTTAGATTTCATTTTAACCGCTGTTGAAGTGGATAAAAATTGTCCCTTCATCAATTATGGAAAGTCCGATGAGGGCATATGAATATAGTCAAAGTTTAATCACATTCAACATGGGGAAGAGATTAAGGAATAATTAGGCTTTGATAAATCAACGTTCAACAGTTACGAGGATTTCAGGGAAACTTACATGAAGGCACAACAAGTATAAGATCTTTGATCGTACCTCGTCAACTTATTACCTAGTAATTTCCAATATTCTTGTGGCCTGCAAGTTGCCCTGATAGATAAGGTATTGATGAAATTGATAAAACATTCTAATAAATACCGTACGCAAAGAAACGATGGGTGTTTGTTTGTGAGTGTGTGATCAGAATTTGAAGTCACTTGCAGCTAGAACAGGTAACAGATTATGTATGGAATACAATATGGCTAATTGTCCCATTCCAGCCATCACTATAGTGCCATTCCCTATTATTCAAGCTACTACATATTACGTTCTACACCTGTAAATCTCTTCAACAAGAAAGTACTCATTTAAACAGAAAAACGAAGGTGAGGGGGCTAGCCAAGTTGGGGAGAATGATGAGCAATGGAATAATGGAGAGGGCTCAAAAGAGCCTTGGAAGGGGATTTGACTTAACATCAGATTTTAGACTCAAGTTCTGCAAAGGAGAAAAAAGACTGGTTTTCCTCAATGAAGCAGAGAAAAAAGAGCTCAAGGTACCCGGCTTTGGGGTCATCAAAGAAGTTTCTGTTGACATAAAGTGTGACAAAGGTGATCGTATTCGATATCAATCAGACATCCTTGAGTTCCATCAGGTATTTTATGAGTCTTCAAGAAGATTTTTGTTCTTAATTCCTGTTACTGATGTTGGAACATGGGGTTATAAATTTATGAGTAGTGAAATAGTGCAGATGTCAGAGTTGCTCAACCAAAAAGCATCTGTGCCAGGGAAAATCCCATCAGGGCTGTTTAACTCCATGTTTGGATTTGAAGGTTGTACCTGGGCAGCTGATGCAGCTAACACCAAATGTTTGGGACTTGATGGTTACTTCATATCTCTATTCACTTTTCGTATTGATCGGTATCCACTTGTTCTCTGCGATGAAGTCAGAAAAGCAGTTCCATCGTCTTGGGATCCATGTGCTCTAGCAAGGTAATCTCTTTTTATCATTTCATGAGCAAATAATGGACATATTCGTGCTCAAAAGCAGCACATATAATTATAGATAGAACGGGCAGGTAAACCTTAAGCCCTCAATTCATCTTTCAAAATGAATAGAAATGCCAATAATTCATCTTTAGTTTAGTGTCGAGTTACAATCCGTAGGAAAAAAATAGCATGAATATACATTACGATCCAATATTCAGTTCAAAGATGAACCTTTGCTTGCTGGATTCGTATTTGTCAACTTTAGCTTGGAAAGAGAACGCCGGCTCTGTTGTTTTTTTTCCTGCTCCAATGTTAAAGTTGAATTCGTCGAACAAGATAGAAAGACTATTTTCCTTGTCATTTAATTCATTTATTTGTCATTTCTTTTGATGAATTATTCTGGGCACATCCCTAAATCTACCCATATGTACCCTATGTTTTGTTAATTATTTAATTTGGTCAATTAGACTTTGCCCCTTTTTTTAAAATTTTTTATTAGATCACCCTTTGCTATTTACTTTCTTTTTGCTGAACAGTTTTAGAATTCCCTTTTGATTTAATCGATATCAGCATTTTGTTGGCATAAATAGTCTATATTGTACATTATAGTTCTGAGTCATCAAAACTCTTTAAACTTCACAGAGACGTGTGACAATCTAGATTCATGAGAGCTGAAGAAACATGCATGTGACTTAACACTAGAAAAATAAACTAATCATGACATGTTGAGCGCATTTCCTGGTCATTTTCCAAGTTTTCGTTGAACACAAAAATCTGGTTTAGTTCAATGTACATTGACTGGTTTGGTAAACAAACTTATAACATAAACCGAACCCGTTCAACCTCCGAGCCAAATTTGAAGTCGTCAAGATTTTGATGTTTTACAGGTTCATTGAAAAGTACGGTACCCATATTATTGTGGGGTTAAGCATAGGTGGCCAAGATGTTGTTCTGGTCAGGCAGGACAAATCTTCCAATCTGGGTCCATCAGAGCTGAAGAAACATTTAGATGACCTTGGCGATCAATTATTTACAGGGATATGCAATTTTACTCCAAAAGCTAGAGATCAAAAGTCTAAGGTTGTTTAATCCCGCCCCCATCAAGCACCTTTTTTTTTTCTTTATTTAGATTTTTCTATCCTAACATTATCCTAACAATTCAATTGGGCTATCAATTGCAGATTCCGCAGGCTTTCAATGTCTTTGATGCACAACCTGTTGCCTTCGATAGCTTCTCATCCGTCAGGAGTACAAAAGACGTAAGTTCCACTGTTGCAAATAATCGTTTTAATTGCCTGGAGAAATGCCAATGCGATCATGACACCACACTACTGACACCAGTTGGAAATAACAGAAAATGGGTAGCTGTAATATGACACTCATCATGATTCATAGCCACATTTATTATGAAAGCTTATATTATCACAATATGCATATGCAAGATCTAAATAAGAATACCATCGAGTTTTTTCTATATAATTTTCCAACATACTAATAACTTTTGGAAATAAATCATCTAAAAAAATAGACTAGACAATTCAGTTAACGGAGTGAATTGGGAAAAAAAAAAATTGCAATGAGGTATGGATCCTCGTAAATTATACTAGCTCGAAGTGAGGTAGGGGGTTGATTTTTGCAGGGGATCACTATTCTATGTGCCAAGAAGGGAGGTGATACGTCAGTAAGTAGTCACTGTGAGTGGCTTCCGACAGTTCTTTCCATGCCAGATGCAATTCAGTTTAGCCTCATACCCATGACTTCTCTCCTTAAAGAAGTTCCTGGAAAAGGTTTCTTGTCTCATGCTATCAATCTCTATCTTAGATGTAAGTACCATTTCTTGTCTCTCTTACTGCAATGCTATATTATGAAGAGCAAAAGAGTAGAATTTTATGTTGCATTTGTTGAATCCACACTCTGGTGAAACTGGTCGTCCTTTTGTTTATGTGAAGATAAGCCTCCTATATCTGATCTGCAATATTTTCTCGACTTCCAATCTCTCAAGATTTGGGCCCCTGTTCACAACGACCTCCCACTAGGGCCTTCCACAAATTTGGCCAGTTCATCTTCAGCTCTTCACTTCTACTTGATGGGCCCTAAATTATATGTGAACACTTCTCAGGTGGTACCTAAATGGCTAAACCAGTCATTTCCTATTATGAATTTTCTTATAATTTTTTGCCTGTTTTTTAACTAAAGTAAGCCCTGACTGTAAAGGTTACGGTTGGAAAGAGACCAGTAACTGGAATGAGATTTTATCTTGAAGGCATGAAATGCAACAGGTAACGGTCAAAAGCTTCTAAGATTTTTTAAAATAATCATCTCAAAATTGAAGAATTTGCTTAGCCGTCAATTATCTCGGCCAATTGGATTTCTTTGATCTTATATTCCTGATGATTAGCATTAATCAGCCCTGTCCCTTTTTCAGGTTAGCCATACACCTCCAACACCTCGCAAACACTCCATCAATTCTTGCAAACAAGATAGATGACAGTATTCAATTATGGCGAGGAACTGATGAAACCGACAACGAAGGATACTTTGAAGCTATACATCGAAAAAAGTTTTCCCATGTATGCACAGCACCAGTAAAATATGACCCCATATGGAGTACTACAGAAGATGTAGCCTACATTGTCACAGGGGCCAAACTTCAGATAAAGAATCACAACTCAAAGAGGGTTCTACATCTTCGGCTACTGTTCTCCAAGGTTTCATATTCTTTTATAGTTCAGTCAAGCTGGGCACAAGGCTCTTCAGGATTTTCACAAAGGTCTGGCCTCTTCTCTGCCATAAGCACATCGGTCACAGGCAATTCTGGGAAAGAGAAACCTAAGCCTGTGGTGGTGGATTCCAGTGTGTTTCCATCAGGGCCTCCAGTACCAGTGCAAACACAAAAGTTTTTGAAGTTCGTAGATATATCACATTTGTGTAGAGGGCCACAGGACAGTCCTGGACATTGGCTAGTAACAGGGGCTAGGTTGGACTTGGATAAAGGGAAAATAAGCTTGCAGGTTAAGTTCTCCTTACTAAACATCTATCCATGACAAAATCAAGGTGCAGCCAAGAAGTCATGACAATTTTCCTATTGCGTGTTTTCTTTTGTAACTCAAATAGATCTTCTAAATTGCCCATGGCGTCTGCAACAGTATGTTCGAATCTTGAAAACAGCTTGTTAACTATTTGATTCTACTCTCTCATTACTCCTCTGTGCGTGTGTGTGTGTGTGTGTGTTTTCCTGGGAGTTCGCCGTATGTGAAAAGGCCCACCGCTACATATGGGCTGGCTCGGATCACATTTCAGTGTCGGAGTTTGGAATATTTTGACTGGTAGAAGCGCCGACTAGGTTCTGCCAAACTCCCTTCATGTCAACGGTCCAACGGCTATAAATGTTGTTAATGTCAGGACTTTTTACTTCAATATTATTAATTCAAACTCCAAGAAAAAAAAAATAAAGCTCTTAGAAAACAATACGTTCTGGGCTAAGTTCTCACTGCTAACGTAGAAATATATTCTGGGTTAAGTTCAGTAGCAATGGCGTCACTGCTTACGTAAAAATATTAGATTAATGTTCTTTACATGTAACACAATCCCTATATAGTATGTGCAAGTAGAGTTGTATGAACTTTTCCTGTACTCGACTGTGTTAAATAATCAATCAGTTATAAAATTGAAGATTCCTTGGGTTGAGATCTTTTTGGTTCATTTTAGACGGGCATGTATGTTGGATGGCAGCGTGCGCATGTGCATACTGGAGACTGTTTACGCTCCTTTTTAATAAATTACTCTGCGATACACTGAAGGAAAGGGGAGGAAAATAATGATACTGTCAACGATCCACTCACACCCGCGAAGTTCCCTCGTCATCTAAAACACGTACCTTCGAAAGGATTGCTTTGGAATAAGACCAAGAAGCTTGTATATATGCTATAAAATCCGATCGACGAACCAAAAATGGCAGGCATCTTTTCATATCAGGTGGATTCAGCAATATCAATAATGATTCTGACACATCTTGAGCTATACTAAACGGCAATTATCACCTGCATGTTCATGAGCTGACATGATTTATCAATATTACGCAAAGAACCGTTGCTTATATTCTTGCTCCACATATTGTACAGAAAAGGCAGATTGATAAACACTAGCACGGATAAAAATGTCAAACTCAGAGACTGATGCGCCTCCTATGGTTGGTGGAGTTGGCACTTGCAGCTATTACAAGAACTCCTACTTGCAGGTATTGTGTTAAGTTGCTGATTAATTAACCCATGTATTTAGTACTTTCATCATATTTCTTTTACTTGTTAACACCTATCATATATTTCCAAGGTGTTCTATGATGCATCTAAAGACTTGTGATGTTCAAAATCGTGCATCTTCCGAGAACATATGGCCTTAACCTGCAAGATTTATCTACTAGAACGAACATGATTGTAGGCAATGCCTTGTTATCTCATGTCTATGGTAACACGAATCTGAGCATGAGTTAATTACTTGACACATTGTTTTTTTTACAGAGAAGAAGTGCAAATGTAGTTAAAGAAAAAATTGACGAGGAGATTGCTAAGAAATTGGACTTCCATAATCTTCCAATTGCTTCCAACACATTCCGTCTTGCAGATTTAGGATGTTCAGTAGGACCAAACACCTTTTTCCATGTCCAAGATTTGCTAGAAGCTATCAAGCAAAAGTATGAAATGCAATTCCATACCTCCCAAATCCCGGAATTTCAAGTTTTCTTCAATGATCAACCAATGAACGATTTTAATACCCTCTTCAACAATCTCCCACAAGAAAGACAATACTTTGCAGCTGGTGTGACAGGCTCTTTCTACGATCGATTATTTCCCGAGTCCTTTCTCCACTTTGTGCACTGCTCTATTTCACTTCATTGGCTGTCTAAGCTGCCAGAACAATTGCTGGACAAGAATTCTCCTGCATGGAATAGAGGAAGAATTCACTACACAAATGCACCAAATGAGGTTGTCAACGCATATGCATCTCAATTTGCCAAGGACATGGAGAACTTTTTGAATGCAAGATCTAAAGAGCTTGTGTCTGGAGGGATGATTGTGATAATCTCACAAGGTATCCCTAATGGGATGCTTTATTCTGAGCTCCAAAATGGCGTTATGTTTGAGTGTATGTCACTGAGCCTTATGGATATGGTGAAAGAGGTAATTAAGCCAATGATAATTCCTTGTAGGATTATGCATGCCCATAAAATTTTACATTAATTTGATAAATGGCCAGTACTTTTTATGACAGGGAGTAGTATCTGAAGCTCAAGTAGACTCCTTCAACCTGCCATTTTATGCTGCTTCGCCAGACGAGATGACAGAGATTGTGGAAAGAAATGGGCTTTTCAACATTGAGAGAATGGAATTGAATGACCCAGCAGCATGGCTGAAAAGACGGATTAATATACCTGAATGGGTAGTGCATGTAAGAGCTGCAATGGAGGAATCATTCAGCAAACATTTTGGAGGAGAAGTCCTGGATGAGTTATTCGATCGCTTAACGAAAAAGCTTAGCAAGTTTTCTGATGAACTGGAGTTAAAATACAGGGAAAAAACTCTTCTTTTAGTTGTTTTAAAGCGTCAGTGAGTTAGACGGAGATACAACGGAGGAATTCTTCAGCATTGTCGGCATTTCACTAACGCAATTTCACTGATGTATCACAGAGACAAAGCATGAAAACTAAATCCTGCCACAATATCTAAACCGATCTTCGTGCCGCTCAAATCTTGTAACCGAGCCAAACCCATTATCAAAGCCCGAAGGATTGAGACCAATTCTTGTTTTTTATGAAAAATATGATTTTAAATATACATTTCCCGGAGGATCAAAGCCCATGCCACAATACACAAGCACAGAGTAAGCATATTGCGGTTGATTAGGAAAAGAACAGAGCTAATTCTTTGGACAAATGGAATAATTAATCGTCCATGACCACCGTAATTTTCACATTGGATGAGCCCATTTTTCGTATACCTCGAAGCCCAAGAGACTGGTCCATTTGGGCTTTTCTGCCTTCTGGTACAGAAAGTTGGATCACTAACCAGTATGACTGCAGAGGCCCAACCTAAAATATACTAAAAGCAAAGCTTGTTGAAGAAATTTTAAATTCCCCGTCAATCATTATACCTCTCTCTCTCTCTCTGACGTCCTGCTATGATAATTAATCATAGCTCCATGGTTGTTTTGGTGCCACAACTGTGACCACCTCTTCCACTTTGAATTTTTATTTTATAAAATTAATTTTTTTATTTTTTATTTATATTTTTAGATGATTTTGATCCTATTTTATTATTAAAAATAATTTTTTAAAAATAAAAATATTATTTTAATATATAAATTTTCAAATAAAAAATATTTTAAAAATAATTATTACCACACTCTCAAATATCTTTTTTATAAATTAAAGTTTGTGAGCACATAAACATATTAAGTATTTGGTAATAGTAAATATGCTTTATAAATATAATATGTGTTTGATAAGGTATGATTGGAATTTCATAAAAACTATAATAATAAATATTTATTTTTAATATTATCTAAGTACTAACCAGAACTATTTTCTTATTAAAAAAACTTATTCGAACGGAACAAATAGTCGTTGGATTGGGATACCATTACCATTTTCAGTAAAGTAGGATCGGTATTGCTTAACACTGTACTGAAAATAAAAGAAAATCATAGTGATATAAGATCATGAAAGTGGAGATTTACACTGTTATTTTTATATTTTAAAAAAATTAATTTTTCTTAAAGAAATAATCGCTATCGATACACTTATAGTAGCAAAATTATATATCATTGCATCGGTACCTTGCTTTGTTTTTGGTGTCAAAATAAAAACAGAATTATAATCAAACAGGTAATTAAATTAATAACTAGATCACCTTACAATGCAATTTATAGAGAGGTCGAAATCAACACGGTATCTTTTACACAAATATTAGAAGATAAAGCTATCATAATTTCCGAACCAAGACAACAAAATCACCTTGCGTATGATCAAGAGATGCACCTAAGTGGTAAAGACTTGGGACTAAGGGATTTGCTCCCTCTGTGGTCTCAGGTTCGAGTCCTTGGTTGCTCATATGATGGCCACTGGAAGCTTACATGGTCGTTAACTTCAGGGCCCGTGGGATTAGTCGTGGTGCGCGCAACCTGGCCCGGACACCCACGTTAATCTAAAAAAAAAAAAAAAAAGAGATGCACCTAAGCAATCATCTAGGTGGTGGTCAAGTGGTAAGGATTTGGGATCAAGGGGTTTGCTCCTTCTGTGGTCTCAGGTTCGAGTCCTTAGTTGCTCATATGATGGCCACTGGAGGCTTATATGGTTATTAACTTCAGGACCCGTGGGATTAGTTGTGGTACGCGCAAGCTGACCCGGACACCCACGTTAATCTAAAAAAAAGAGATGCACCTAAGCTTGCTGGATTTACTGAATCTCAATTTGATTCCTGCTTGATATATTCTACTCAATCATTGGTCTGTGATGAAAGCATCTGACATCATTTATATAAATCATATATATATATATAAACTAAAAAATAATTCTATCATCAGTCATCAGGAGTACCTCCAAAGAGACAATCTACTTGCTTACGCGCACAATCAAAGTATGTAATATATAAAATCCCGTATATTATATTCAGTTTGGCACTACACATATATAAATACGCCCACATTGTGCAGCTATAACTTTTGTTCTTGTTTTTTTCTTGTTTTTTTTTTTAATTTTCTTAAGAGATAATGGGAAATCCCTTTTGAATATCCAACGTATATACTAGCTAGCTAGCTAGATAGATAGGGCCGGGCAAATTAATTAATTAAGATCACTTTCAAGGAAAAAGAAAAAAGCTAACAAGTCGAACCTAATTATAAACCCTAATGAAACAATAAATATATAAGGAGTCTGCCTTCATGTGCTTGTATATATATATCCTTTTGATTTTATTTCTTTTTTCCTTACCTCTTCTTTCTATATATCCGCCTGTTTTTTGTTTTTATTATTATATTGTGAACACTCCTTTCAAAAGCTAAACCATGAAGGTATCTTCTTCTTTCTGTGCTATGTGCTTAGTGAAGGATCATTTTAAATATTTGGTGATCGGGAAGTTTCTAAAAGAAGACATTAATTAAAAGTACCATATTCCTAGAAATTTAGTTCTGGCGGTAATAGACATGCAATCGTGTCTTAATACCACACACTCTTGGTTTTTATTGCCGAGAGAATACTACGACGTCGTGCCTCTCTCATCCTTTTTTTTTTTCTTTTCCGAAAATTGAGTTTTAATATTTTAATATAATCTTATTCATATATCATTTTGTTTTTAGAATTTGACCTCTAATTAAAGAACTCTAAAATAAAATTACATTATTCTTTAAACCAGGAAGGATATATATACATATAGGTTTCCATCAGAGAAAAATATATAAAGGGTGTTTACATGAATATATTCCTCCTATACATGCACAGATCACCTGAGGAATCTATATTGTCAATAATTCTTAAAATATTTACCTCTTGAGCACAAAAATTATTTAGGAAAATGAAGTTTCCCTTGTCAAGAGTAATGTTGGGCTCCAGGAATAATATGCCTGTTTCCACTTGGGTCTTGTTTATTAGGAAGACAGCACTGTATATGCATCTAGAATTCCTGGTGTATATATGGCCATGTATCACATTCATCAAGTTGCAGAATTAATAAATACCAGCGAAATTTGACTTAATATATCATGGAAAAGACTAGCTGGTGATAATCCTGTGTTCTTCTTTATGCGGTTGAAACTTCTTCAGAATCTTTGCATTGTTTACGAAGAATTAATTAATTAAATCATATGTGTCGATATTCGATAGTAAAAAGTAAGAGACCGCAGGGACTATTCTGGATCTGCCCCTTTATAGTGCTTTTCTTCCTATTCTGGATCTGCCCCTTTATATTTTGATTTATTCTTTTTTGGGATGAAAACGGGTTATTATTAAGTATGATCCTTGATTACATTCTACTATACATATATTCTTTTCTTAATTTCATTACCATCTATTAAAATAATTTTGAAAACTTGTTTAATATTGTAGTAGTAATTATTTTTTATTATATTTTTTATTTAAAAATATATTAAAATAATATTTTTTTATTTTTAATATTAACACATCAAAACCATCTGAAAATTAAAAAAAAAATAATTAAAATAAAAAATTAAAATTAAAATTTTATCTTAAACATTTTTTAAATAAAAAACAATAAACTCCAAATAGAGCTAAGTTGCGATTAACCCTAGCTAGCTACCCCTATACCTCTAGCTTTTATATATGTGTCTCTTTCTGTCACAATCAACCCTGGATTTGTATATAAATTTAACTAATTATTAATCATCAAAACATGTTCGCTCATCAATTAAGTGTGGCACCACTCTACGTGCATGTTTACCTCCTCCTGTGCTATATAAAGGCAAAGAGATGCCAAAGGGCACCGCTGTAACCAGTACTCGATTGCCCCATAGTTTATAAAACACACACAACACAACCGACAACCTAAGACATGGCAACTTTGGTGAATGATTCAATCCTGAAGAACGATGCGGCTGGCCCCGTCCCGGTGAGCGGTGGATTAGGCACTGACAGCTATTACAACCACTCGTTTTTTCAGGTTTACTTCTTTAACTTCTCCCTTGACAATCGGTGATTATCCATAATTAATCATCAACATGCGCGGATACTGAAAGCCTAATTTTACAGTCTCCCAGCATCTTTTTTTTCTTTAAAAAACTTCAATCTCCTACATATCTTCATCTTCTGGAATCTAATTTAATCAGTGGAATAAGTAGCTAGTTGGGTTAATGTGATTGAATCTGTCCAAAGAGCACTCGGGCTTTTGGTGTTTCAGTGATTAACGGTGGATGTCTAGGGATACTTCTGTAGTATAAGAAGAGACGGCTCTTTTTGTAATTGTGAAATACATACATATTCGAAAATTAAACAGGTTGCATACAAAATACAAAAACTAAAGGAATAAGCTACATTTTATTTTATTTTTTTGAATTTTGATCAGTAATATTAGAAGCATTTAGTTTTAAAGCATTCAAGTTTAACTTCTCTACACTCATATATTTATGGCTCTCACAAAAACTGCCGCCTCATGGCCTGCATTATATGGCTTCAATTACAGCATGACTGTCAGTTGTCGAACGTTTGGTCCCCCAGTTAGTCATTTGGCAAGAGATTCTCATTCCAACTCAAATGAAACAACTTGAGGAAGAATAAGAAAAATAAATATTTTACGAAAATGCTGATATGGTCCATCGTATCTCTAGTTGGACTTACATGGAGGAAACCCTTATTTTTCTTCTCTCTTTTTGTCCTTGACCTTCTTTTAAAAGGCATATACATACATAGAAATAGAACACAGAAACAAATTTTGAGCCGAGTATATAGATCTATAGCAAATTAACTAACCTAGTCTAGATTCGCACAGGTTGTATGCCTTTGATATACATGAGTTGACTTTGGCTCATCTCAACTCATGTGGTCTCATGTTTCAGTTAAAAAAGGCAATAAAATCTTTCACCACCTTCTTTGAATGGGTTCTCCTAGGGAAAAATATGCGTGGAGGCCGGAGGGGTAATACTCGTGATTTGGAGCTTAACTAATGCTTTAATTTATTTTAGTTGCAAAATTAAAGCCTACTATACCGATACAAATACCATCCCCTCCTCTCGGGTTCGAGAGTTGAACCCATCTGTGTAGTGGAGATTATAGAGGAATCATTCCCC